AAAAAAAAAACCTTTTATGATTTAATTTACTCAATAAGTCTAGCAAAGATGTATTATCAGAATAGTCAGAATCAGGAAACCAATATTTTTGGTTCTAATGTAGAATAGGAGACTGTACCAGTTTATGAACTGATGGTGTTCTAAAGTTAATTTGTAAGCATGTTTGGAAGTGGGAACCTTAGAAAGAATATTAGTCTTTACCAGGCATTTTTAATCACTCTGTATAGATGATGATTTTAAGGTAAGGAATATATTTTGCTGTTGCTCTTGTTTCTTTTTAGTGTCTTCATGGCACTTTGGGCCATGTTCAATAAATGCCTGATCAAGTATCTGACATGTCAGAGCAGTACAGTTTTCAACAGACATTTTTTTTTAAGTTTGAAAAAGGATATAGAGACTTAGAATTGTTGAGTTGTGTTGGATTCCTGCCCATAAAAGCTTATTTGACTAAGAATCCATCTCTGAATGTTAGGTTTTAGGATGCCAGGATTCCTGGTGGTAGGTTCTCTTTCCTGGGGTAAATCTTGGCATAGGAACATTTTAAAATACATCGTTTGCCTCCACACTACCTATTCTGCCTTTGCTTAGGTCTCCCACCTCTCTCCCACTGTTAATTTCCTTTCTCTGCTCATGTATACATGAAAGTGTCCTATCTTAATTTATTTATTTCCTTTTTCTCTCTAAAAGATCTAAAAGATGACATCCAGTCATCTCAGTTACAAATTAAGAGGAGATGTGATTTATTTAAACTAAGTCTCATTACTTAAGAACAAATTAGTATATGAGTTAACAGGTCTTTTTGACTATCTTTTATACTGCTTATTAGCACCTTCTCCCGAAAAATGGGGCAGAGAAAGGAAAACATTGTATTTTCTTTTGCAACTTTTGATTGATTCTAGAAAATGCGGGGGGGAGGGGAATTAAAGCAAATTATTAAGATTAGTTTTATATAGGCTTGAGTTTGGGGACTTTGCTGATAAGATTGAGTAGTAATTGTATGTTTTATTCTCTTCCCTCTCTCCTCTTCCCTGAACATCTTACAGGGAAAAAAATTTTGATGAATTTTCTAAGCACCTTAAGGGTCTTGTTAATCTTTATAACCTTCCAGGGGACAAGTAAGTATTTTTTGCTGTTGTTTGAAAAATTAGTATAAATCTATAAATTATTTTATACTAAGAAATTTGCCAAGTCTTCTGCCCTAGCTCATTTGTGATTTCTGTTCATACCGACAGTCTATAACTCAGTTTCTAACTTAATGTCTTTTAAAGGTATTTTAAATAAACAGTATCTGCATTATTGATGATAGTGCTAGAAGGTAGATTATAAGCCTTGAGGTATCTTCAACATATTAATTTCTAGGTCAAAAGAAATTGTCATGGAACTGGTTGTCATTTTTATTTTTAACATACCTGGGATTGTGCTTACTTGCTTGGTCTTTTAAGTTGAGATAAAAATTAGCTTTGGTAGATCACTAATGATTTTTTTTTAATGTTTTATTTTTTTAAATAGATATCTAAGTTGCCTCCAAGGTAGACTTGCTCTCTAGGCTTTCAATATTTGTGTATATTTGTTAACTAATTCTTGTTCTGTTTACTTTCTAGCAAACTGAAGACTAAAATGTACTTGGCTCTCCAATCCTTAGAACAGGATCTATCTAAAATGGCAGTTATGTATTGGTAAGACTGGCTAAAGTGTCAGTTCTCTTTGACCTTGTTCTTAAAGATTTTTTGTCTATGGGTTACTAGGTTTCTGTTATTAAAAAATATGTATTATAGATGTATGTTACTATGCATCTGTATTTTACCTGTACTGTACATCTTGTCCATATCCTTTCACTTCCCAAATGATTGCATTCCATTTTCTGAATATCAGTATCTCTAAGTTGTTGGTTGGTATTCCATAGGTTTTATGAGAAGACTTGTGAAACCTGGCCTCCCTTCTGAAATAATAGTATAGTTGTAATTTTTGTTCACCATATTACACACTGGTGTATTCTTAGAAATAATCCCTTCACCTTGAGGGTGAAATATGACTGTTAAGTGCCCAAGATAGAGTTATTAGGATAGAATTAAAAGATGTGTAAGAGCTGAACTCATTATCACATTGTATACTAATATCTTCAGGGCTTAAATGTAAATAAACATAGATCATTTGTCTTGCAGGAAAGCAACCAATGCTGGTCCCTTGGATAAGATTCTTCATGGAAGTGTTGGCTATCTCACTCCAAGAAGCGGGGGTATGTGATGCTATTTTGCTTGTTTAGAAAAAAACCTAATTTTTAGTTGAAATATTACTACTTAAAAATTTCATCTTGGTTTTATAAGCAGAAGGTGAAATTCACTAGTCATTTGTGATGGTTTTCTTTTTGTTTAATTGAAATGTAGTTGATTTTCAATGTTGTGTTAGTTTCTGGTATATGGTAAACTGATTCAGTTATACATACTTTTATTCCTTTTCCTATTCTTTTTCATAATAGTTTATTACAAGATACTGAACATAGTTCCCTGTGCTCTACAGTAGGACACTGTTATGTAATAGTTTATATCTGCCAATCCCAGACTCCAAATTTACCCCTCTCTCATTTGTGTGGTTTTTTTTTTTTCATTTGTGTGTTTTTTAATGGTTTCTAAGGTGTGAATACTTGCCCTCCCCTAGTTTTCTTGTTTTTTTTTTTTTGATTGCGCTGTGTCATCTGGGATCTTAGTCCCACAACCAGGGATTGAACCCACATCCCCTGCTTTGGAAGCATAAAGTCTTAACCACTGGACCACCAGGGAAGTCCTAGATGTGGAAATACCTTTTTCTCCTTTCATGGATATGGATATGGTGTATCCATGTATTCAGTAGATTAACCTTTCCTCTTTTGGATAGATGGACAAAATAACAATTAAAAATTAATAGGTTAACTAGAATATATAAGAAATATAGAGTATATAGACTACTTCATAATCTGTAGACTATGCTGAAATATTATTTCTAGAATAATATATGTGTTTACCAAAAACTATTGGCTCGGTTAATTTTTACCTCAAATGTTTTCCTATTTTAATACAGGAGAAGAGGGTTGTAATGAGTTCTGGAGGGCACCAACATTTGGTCAGCTGTTTGGAGACATTGCAGAAAGCTCTCAAAGGTTTGTAAACATTGTTGAAATATGCTAACTTCTTAAAAACCCTCCAGTTTAGGAAAGACTTTTATACTTATACTAGAAATGTGAATTGAGATAGGTGGGTATCACTCTTGATTTCATTATGAAGTTGAGATAAACTTTGACCTGAACTTTTGAAACATTTATTTTTTATTCTATTTTGAAGGCTGGTAGAAACTCAAAAAATAATTGATGAAGGGTAACCAAGATAGCATATAGGAGGGGATAATTTTTTTCCTTCACATATTCTCTCCTAATTAACTCAATAAGAAGATGGACTTTTTGTTTTAAGTATTTATTAAGAATGTTTTCATAAGAACATGAAAAGAGGAAAGAAAAAAATGTTTTCAGGAAAGCAAACATGAAATTTAAGTCATGAGCTTGATTATTCAAGCTTATAATTACTACTTCTGTCTATTTTTGAAGGAAAATGAAAGTTAAAAACAAACAGGTTTTACACTGATTATCACAAATAAGCCAGGATTGAATCCATACCCACTTCAGTGGATGTGTGGAGTCCTAACCACTAGATGACCAGCAAGTCCCTAAGTATGTCTTCTTTAAAGATAACTTGTCCAAATGAGTAATAGAAAGGAGAAAGTTTCAATTTTTTAAAAATAGATCTTTTTTTTTTTTTTTTTTGACCCTTATTGCTTAGGCTGCAGCTAAGCCTTATCAATGAGCTTTGTGCAAATTATAAGCATTTGAACTATAGATGAGCTTTGTGCAGATTACAAGTATTTGGACTATTGAATGTGTTTATGGCTTTGGAAGGACAGATATACTCCTCAGGATGTTTCTGGTTTTGAAGAATACTATTTAAGTTATTTGGAGCATGCTTTGTGATTTCCTTTTTTTCACCCTTTTGTAGTAACATCTTTACCAGCAATGACTGATCGTTTGGAGTCTATAGCAAGACAGAATGGGTAAGTAGTATATCTGTAGGCAGAAATATTAAACTTAGTGTTGACTTTGGGTGGCTTTATTTATGTGTCTTCTATTAATTTCTGTTTTGATTTGTTCCTGCTAGACTGGGCTCTCATCTCAGTGCCAGTGGCACTGAATGTTACATCACGTCAGATATGTTCTATGTGGAAGTGCAGTTAGATCCTGCAGGACAGCTTTGTGATGTAAAAGTGGCTCACCATGGGGAGAATCCTGTGGTATGTGTTGATATTTCACTGGAATCTGTGGGGTTTACTTAGGGACATTAATTTTTAAAGAAATTGTTGGGGTTTGAAATAGCTTGGGTTTAGGTTTTTTCACGAGCCACTGTAGAGATGATGTGATGGGCTACAACATCAGTAGCTGTAGAGTGGAATTTAGAATAATCTGGGTCCATCTCTGACATCATCCAAAGGCTTTGACAAGAAGAAACACCAGAGGAACCTTTTCCAATTCATATCAACAAACATGAGCCGCAGTTGAACAATAGGTGCTGGGGATACAAATAATTTAAATTCCTATCCTCAAAGAACTTATAATCAAGAAGGACAGATAATCTTGTATATAGCTAATGTCTCTGAAAAACCCTGTAATAGAGAGGAATGTAAAAAGGTGTATAATTAGACAGTTGGATATGAATTCCAAGGATGGCTTTAAAGAGAGGTCCTAATGTTTTAAACAAGCAACTGAAAGTTGACTCCTTTATAAACTATTTCATATATTTGATTTTTAATTTCGTGACCCAACCCCATGGTTTACCAAGTATTGATATCTTAATAGAAGGACCTTCTATAGTTTTAATGTTTTTGTTATAAAGCATGTGTTATTAATAAAAAAGAAAAAAACTTTTGATGTCTTCAAGCATCTTAAAGTAGTTTAGAGTTTTAACATAATTTCTTTAATTTCAGAGCTGTCCAGAGCTTGTACAGCAGCTAAGGTGAGCAGCTGACATTTACATTCCCTTTTTTTGGCAGACAGTGCTGTTCTTTATAGTTAACATTTTGAGAATGGTCAGAAGTTACTTTTCTAAGGAATAACTTTATTTTCTTGGGTTTTTCAGAGTCTGCACTTGCTCACTTTCAGAATTGACTTAGCTTTTTTTTTTAATACTCGATTCCATCTATCCTAGGGTTTCCCAGCCTTGACAGTATTGCCATTTTGGGTTGGGAGATTCTTTGCTCTAGGGGGTTGCCCAGTTCATTCTTGGATGTTAAACACCATCCCCGGTTTCTCCCAGCTAGTTAGGATCTATGATAACCTCCTGATCTGTGATAATCAAAAATATCTCCAGATATTGTCAGACGTACTCTGGAGGACAAAATCATTCCTGGTTGAGAAATACTGAGTTAACCTTAGGAATTCTCTGTGGAATAAAAATAAATAGAACCTAATTATTGAATTAGAGAAAGCTTGAGAAAATTGAGTCTGTACTATGGAAAGAACTTTTTTTCACTTTGAGAAAAATTGTCTTATATTTAAGGTTTATGGGTCCCAAATCATAGTAAAGTGCTAGGCTTGAAGACAGTCTCTTTAGTAATTGATGTTTTTTGTCATTGGCTTATCTTTTCTCCTTTAATTGAGTGGAGATTTCCATGCTTAAATTTAAACCCAGAATTAACTCTCTGGGAATGTGAGAAAGTTATTAAATCAATTTTATGTTTTAAATATAGTGAAGTTATCAGATAGTAAACAGAGGAGTCTTAAGGGTTTAACATTGAGAAATAAGTTTTACACTCAGCCTTCCAGTGATCACTTTAATGTCCTTACAGCCAAATACACCAGATTTGAATGAACTTTGAAAAATTGCAATGCAACATAAAAAAAAAAAAACCTTTTATGATTTAATTTACTCAATAAGTCTAGCAAAGATGTATTATCAGAATAGTCAGAATCAGGAAACCAATATTTTTGGTTCTAATGTAGAATAGGAGACTGTACCAGTTTATGAACTGATGGTGTTCTAAAGTTAATTTGTAAGCATGTTTGGAAGTGGGAACCTTAGAAAGAATATTAGTCTTTACCAGGCATTTTTAATCACTCTGTATAGATGATGATTTTAAGGTAAGGAATATATTTTGCTGTTGCTCTTGTTTCTTTTTAGTGTCTTCATGGCACTTTGGGCCATGTTCAATAAATGCCTGATCAAGTATCTGACATGTCAGAGCAGTACAGTTTTCAACAGACATTTTTTTTTAAGTTTGAAAAAGGATATAGAGACTTAGAATTGTTGAGTTGTGTTGGATTCCTGCCCATAAAAGCTTATTTGACTAAGAATCCATCTCTGAATGTTAGGTTTTAGGATGCCAGGATTCCTGGTGGTAGGTTCTCTTTCCTGGGGTAAATCTTGGCATAGGAACATTTTAAAATACATCGTTTGCCTCCACACTACCTATTCTGCCTTTGCTTAGGTCTCCCACCTCTCTCCCACTGTTAATTTCCTTTCTCTGCTCATGTATACATGAAAGTGTCCTATCTTAATTTATTTATTTCCTTTTTCTCTCTAAAAGATCTAAAAGATGACATCCAGTCATCTCAGTTACAAATTAAGAGGAGATGTGATTTATTTAAACTAAGTCTCATTACTTAAGAACAAATTAGTATATGAGTTAACAGGTCTTTTTGACTATCTTTTATACTGTTTATTAGCACCTTCTCCCGAAAAATGGGGCAGAGAAAGGAAAACATTGTATTTTCTTTTGCAACTTTTGATTGATTCTAGAAAATGCGGGGGGGGAGGGGAATTAAAGCAAATTATTAAGATTAGTTTTATATAGGCTTGAGTTTGGGGACTTTGCTGATAAGATTGAGTAGTAATTGTATGTTTTATTCTCTTCCCTCTCTCCTCTTCCCTGAACATCTTACAGGGAAAAAAATTTTGATGAATTTTCTAAGCACCTTAAGGGTCTTGTTAATCTTTATAACCTTCCAGGGGACAAGTAAGTATTTTTTGCTGTTGTTTGAAAAATTAGTATAAATCTACAAATTATTTTATACTAAGAAATTTGCCAAGTCTTCTGCCCTAGCTCATTTGTGATTTCTGTTCATACCGACAGTCTATAACTCAGTTTCTAACTTAATGTCTTTTAAAGGTATTTTAAATAAACAGTATCTGCATTATTGATGATAGTGCTAGAAGGTAGATTATAAGCCTTGAGGTATCTTCAACATATTAATTTCTAGGTCAAAAGAAATTGTCATGGAACTGGTTGTCATTTTTATTTTTAACATACCTGGGATTGTGCTTACTTGCTTGGTCT